TTAATCTTCCAGTGGTGTGTGGCTCACAGATTAGAGCTGGCCTTGAAGGATGCACTCCAGCCAACCTTTTTCAAGCAAGTTGATCAGATGCTCACAAGGCTGCATTCATTCTATAGCAAGTCTCCTAAGAAGCTACATGAGCTTAAATCACTTCATGAACTATTGAAAAATACATTTGACTTTGTTGAAGGTTCATTAAAGCCAAAACGAGCAAGTGGAACACGCTGGATTTCATTCAAGCTGGCAGCCTTAAGATTAGTCCTTGATAAGTTTGGAATTTATCTAATGCATTTGGAAAATCTGGCTGAACAAGAAGGAAATGCTGAAATTGTTGGGTACTTGAGAAGGTGGAAAACCAGTCAAATGCTGCTGCATATAGCATTCTTTATTGATGTGTTAACTCCTGCTGCAGAGTTATCAAAGATTTACCAGGAAGAAGATATAGATATTGTGAGTGCTACCAGTGCTTTAAACAGAACCAAGCACAAACTTAAACTCTACAGCAACCTGAGATTACAAGATCTTCCTGCCACAAAGTATTTGCTGAGCAAAGTAGACAAACAAGGTGGTACTCACACATACCAAGGCATTGAATTCAGTTCTATTCAATTTGAAAGAGAGTTGGAATTGCTAAAAGCAAAGAAAAACATAATTACTGAAGCTGTGTGTGCTTGTATTTCTACTTGACTGGATGATTCTGGGAGTCCTACCTTACAGGACATTGCTGTTGTGCTAAATATTGAATCATGGATGGCAAGAGCTTCCCTGCCTCAGGAAGATGAATCAGATGATGGGAACGACTCAAACAAAGAAAATTCTTCTCACAAGTTTAATGAAGGGTCATTTGATGTCGAAATCATCAGATTGTTTGAGCATTTTCAACCTGTCTTGGATAATGCTGATGTCAAGTGCCCATGTACAGAAGTTGTTGCTGAGTGGCATGACTTGTTAACCTATATCATCAATTACCTACAGCCAAACAAGCACAACTACAAGAAAACGTGGAAGTTTGTCTTTCTGTCATCCTATGCAAAATCAAAATGGAAGAACATCCTTACCTTAGTTGAATTGCTATTTTCTATCCCTGTGTCAAATGCAAAACTAGAACGCATGTTTTCAAATATGCAGAGAGCAAAAGTGGATTCAAGATGCTCTTTAGGTGAGCAAAGGCTGACTCACCTGCTAAGAATCAAAGAAGAAGGGCCAGAACTTGGTACCTTTGATGTTACCCCAGTAGTTGAACTATGGCTTAACAGCAAGGTTAGGAGACCTAACCAGAACAAAAGGAAGAAGTACAAGCAAAGAAAACAGAAATCAAAGAAATATTATGATAATGATAATTACACCAATCTCTTTTCTTTAATTGACAATACTGATAGTAGTAGCACAGAAGAATCAGATGATGTGATTGATGTCTCTGTTGAAGACATGGACTGAGATTCTTTGAGCACTATAGTTACTAGTATTTGGAGACTTGTGATATATGTGGATAATGGATTATGGGTATTCAATATCACAATATGTACCATGGCCCATTACAAGGCCCATTATATTATCAGGGACACATAACATATTGACATTATATATACATTCATCAAGTATGAGGTATTATACATTTATGTTCTAATTTTTGTTTCTTTCATTGGCATATTCACAGTAAAATAATAAAATATACTTTAAACAAATTAAGGGTCATCATGTGATAATATGTCAAAATTACAGTGATTGTATATTAATAATTTAATATATTATAGTATATCATTGTAATTTTTTTATGTCAGGGACAAAATGTCTAGTGTCAGGCACCAACCAGTTAGTGCCTGACAAAATGTCAGGCACTCTTGGATATTTATTTTCAGGCTTGGGCAGTTTGGCTCCATTAAAAATTCCTCGTCTACTCATGCCCTACTGAGCCTGACCCATCACCTCCTGAGTGCTACAGATGCTTCAAGCAATGCGGTGAGAGTATTCTTGCTTGATTTTGAAAAAGCTTTTGATCGAATAGATCACAACATACTGGTGAATAAGCTACAACAAATGAGTGTTTCCCAAACCATTATAAATTGGATTAGAAGTTTTCTCTCTGATCGTAAACAACAAGTCAAGTTGGCTAACTGTCATTCAGACTGGCAAACGTTAAACAGTGGAGTGCCGCAAGGGTCGGTGTTAGGGCCGGTAATTGACTTTGCAAGACAAAAACATGAGTTCTTACTGTTAACTATAAATAACGTTGGTATTGAGCGGGTAAAATCTGCCCGAATTCTTGGTCTTTCAATTCAAGATGATCTGAAATGGAACGAGCATGTGAACCATATTGTTAAAAAAGCGGGAAAACGCCTTTATATGCTAAGGTTGTTAAAACGATCAAATGCCGACAATAGCATTCTAATTTTGGTATACTGCACCATTATCAGACCAGTACTCGAATATGCCTGCCAAGTTTGGCACTTCAATATTACAGAATACCTAAGTGAAGATATCGAAAAACTCCAGAAGTGGGCTCTGCGTATTGTCTTGCCATTCGCTACTTACAGAGAAGCTTGCAGTATTACTGGTATACCCTTACTGAAAGATCGGCGGCGATTATTATGCGAACGTTTTTTTGTTAAAAATGCACATGGAGACAAATTGGGTGACCTCTTACCGCCTAAACTTGATCATAACTATAATACACGTTATGGAAGCGATTATAATAACTATAGTTGTAAAATGGACAGATTTAATATTTTTAAACTTGAACTCTAACTTTTTCAACTGAAGTTATGAATAATTTTATGCATTTAGATATTCATATTGTAGTATAATGAGACTTTTTACTGATGTAATTTAACCTACAGGTTACAAATCGGTATTTTATTAAAATTATTAATTAAGTTGGCATTCACCCTCACTAGCATCCACTAACAAGTCACCCCAGAAGCCCAATAATGCATTCTCTACTTGAAAAGAGTTAGAGCCCATTTCACTTCTATCATAACTTAATTTAGCTTCAAAACACTCAACAGTGAGCCTGTTTGGGGAGTAGCACATCAGTTGCCTGGACACACCTGGAAATTGCCTCATTTTATCTAATACTCCCAAAATTTCAAGGCCTTTCTGAAATTGCAGGATTGCACACTGACTTCTACTTACCAGGAACCATTTTATTAAGCTATTGGTTATGCTTAACTTATCTTCAGAGGTTTTTACTGGTTTCCACGCCCCTGTAAGATCTACAAGTGTTGACAGTCTTTCATTACTGTCAATAAATGTATTTACATTTTCTGGTGTAACATTGAGAGAGAGTATGACATCTTTTGTTGCATCATGTATATTTTTCATATCTGCAACTGTGGGTTTTACCCCCTGATGGGCTCTTACCCTTTTTTGCACATTCATTTTGCGAACAACAAATATTAAGTTGTGATCGCTAATTCCGATTGGAAATACATTCGAATATCATATATAATTAGAAAAGTTACTGCTAAGATAGCTCGTTCCTTTCTGATTTAGGTGTAAACCTTTAAGGTTTAGACAGCTTTCATCTAGATTTGAATTATCAATAAAGGGCCAATTATTGGCCACGCAAGTTGATTTCAACAACTTGTTTACAGACTTTATCTTCGATTTTAAATTTAGGCCCTTTCTAACTATTAAACCAGAGATAGTCACTTTAGTATTAGGGAGTGGTCATTATTTATGGGGAGGGGGGTGGGGGTTGGGAAATGGGTCGCGAGTCGCCCGCGATAATAACAGTTTTTCTATCCTTTTGTCTTAGTTCGTTCTTTCTCGGTCTATCATCGGATGTATTATCTTGAAAACCATGACCCCTGCTCATTTGTCTTTGACCATTCTTTCTCGATCTCTCAGCGGATATATTGCCTTGAAAACCATCACCCCTGCTCTTTTGTCTTTGATCATTCTTTCTGGGTCTACCATGTATTTGGCGTAATAACATTCACATTTTAATTTCTTACCTCATTGGCACTGGTGTCTGTTCCTTCCACGCTAAGTAGGGAAAACCTGTTTGTATTAACTCTCACCGAGGGGCCTTTAGGTTTATCATCGAACGAATTGTCAACAGTGATTACCGAAGATCTACTTGCATTCGAACTGTCCGTTGGATGTTTGGATTCAGCCTTATTACTTCTGATTTCTGTCCAAGATCCTGTGGTTTCCCCTTGAACATTAACATCAACCTGGAGTAACTTAATGGCTGTCATTAGGCTCATTTTGTCATTCTCTAAATCCTTAATTTTGGTATTCAAATCTGAGACAGTGCATAACAGAGTTTCCCATACTCTTTCTTATACTTGTGAAGTACAAATGGTTCGTCAGATTCTCGAAGCTTCTCGACAACTGTTGCATCGGAGTACAAAAGTTCATAGTCTCCAATAGATTTAATTTTTGCCATGTTGTGAGCTTTTAATTTACCGAAGGCCGCATCCATAAGTTCTTCCCTATCACTAGACTTTGATGGTTAGAGGCAACGATTTACCTCTCTGTCCTTTCATATCCACGCCATCGTATTTCATGAAACCAACATTCACAGTAACTTTCTTGTCTAATTAAACATTCAGCATTTCTATTCTTCTTCTCACGTCTAAAATATGTCGCTCGTTTTTCACCCTTCAGCTCCTTAAACTGTTTGTATCCTAACGTTTTATTACTGGATTGTTTCGTAGTAGGAGTTGGCGTAAGCTTACTTGTTCCAGCGCCATCATTGCTTTTTTGGCTCTGTCCACAACACGGGCAAAACTTGTATGAAGTTAGAAGTTCGGCAGAACATGACAAACAAGCAGCCATGTTTACACTTATTTCATGCCGTCATGCGGTCTCGAAAAAGGCGGGAAATAATGAATTTAATGAGTATTGAGACCATGATCGGTCAGCGGTTTCTTTGTGGTGTGAATCCGTGAAATTGTGGCGTGAATCCGTGAAATTGTGGCGTGAATCCGTGAAATTGTTGGCGTGTTTCGTGTTATTGTGGGGTGATTTCACTTTTTGTGTGTGAATGACCCTTATCGTCCACCGTAGATTTCACTGTTCATAGAGGGCCTAAATACTGCGTCTCTTGCCTTGTGCAGGCAAGCTTCGATACCGAGATGACTAGAATGGATCCTTGAAGTGATCTCTGTGCGCATAGCCTTGGGAATTATGATACGTTGGCTTTTGAACGAGACTCCATTGTGCAGCGTCAGCTCTTCGCGATATGTCCAGAACTCCTTGATATGTATTGGTACTTCTTCTCTCTCCGTTGGCCATCCCATCAGTATGGTTGCCTTGGGGGTTTGCATGACCGGGTCCTGTTCGGTTGCTTTCTGTAGCTGACCCAGTCTCTCGCTGCTGATCTTAATCGTATTCAGGGGACCGATACCTTCTAGCTTTACGGCGAAAACCTGAAAGTCCTCATCTGGTGTGCCAGTATCTTTCACCGAGGCTCACGATAAATGGTCTGCAATATACATCTGCGGCCCTGGTTTGTACAATACTTCGAGGTTGTACCTCTTTAACCTCAGCATCATTCTCTGCAACCGACAGGGTGCTTCCAATAGTGACTTCTTGAAAATGGATTGAAGAGGTTTGTGATCTGACTCTATCGTGACTTTATCTCTTCTCGATATGTATTGAGAGAACTTCTGGCAGTCGAAAACAATGGGTAGACACTCTTTCTCGATCTGCGCATATCGTCTTTCTATCTGTGTCAATGTCCGCGAGGCAAATGCCACCGGTTGGCCATTCTGAAGAAGCGATGCTCCAAGCCCTTTTTCACTTGCATCACACTGAATCGTAACTTCTTCACTTACGTCGTAGTACTTCAGTACGGGATGTTTGCTCACCAGGTTCTTCACTTCAGCAAAGGCTTTGTCATGTTGGGATGACCACAAGAATCTGGCGTCCTTTAACGTCAGGTCCCTGAGAGGCTGTGCAATTTCGGCTAGCTTAGGTAGGAATTTGGCCAAATAGTTGATAAAGCCCAGAAGGCTCGGCATTTCTTGTTTCCCTGTGGGCTTCGGCATATGTTGTACTGCTGTTATCTTCTCTGGATCAGGTTTAAGAACATCTCTGCTGATAAGGTGCCCCATGAACTTCACCTCTGTCCTCCGTAAGTTCATTTTCTTGCTGTTCAACTTCAAGTTAACTTCGCGTGCTCTATCGAGTAATCCCTTGAGATTTTCGTCATGATTTCTCTCCGCCTCTTCTTGTATGTCTCCGTAACCCATCACCAACATGTCATCTCTCAGGACTTCCACGCCGCGTAGATCCGAGAGTTTCTCTTGTAACTTGCACTCGAACTCCTCTGGAGCGGTATTGACACCAAATGGCATATGCAAGTACCGGTAACGGCCAAACGGGGTCCAGACTGTCGTCTGTTTGCTGCTTGCTTCATCTAGAGCTATCTGGTAAAACCCGTCCTTCGCATTAAGAGTGGTGAAGACCTTGGCTTTACTTAACTTTGGGAGCATCTCTTTGAGGGTTGGCATTTGGTATTTCGGTCTTTTCAGCGCTTTGTTGAGATCTTTGGGATCTAGACATATTCTGATCTTGTTTGGCTTCGCCACGACCACCATACTACTTATCCAGTCCGTTGGATCAGTTTCTTTCACAACGATACCTTTCCTTTCTAATTCAGTCAATTTCTCTTTAACTTCTGTGTGAAGTGTTACAGGGACACGTCATGGCACGTGTTGCACTGGCATGCTCTCTGGATCTATCGAAAAACTCACGTCTCCGATATGTCCTAAACCTTCGAATACGTCTTTATATTTGCTTAGGATTTCTTCACGTCTGAGAAGTGGTGAACTTTCCTTGACGACGTTGCCTGGCTCGACATTAAGTTTGATCAACCCAAATTTCTCGCACGTTTCTGCTGACAGCAGGGGCCTATTCTTGGTCTCGATTACTTGGAACACTAAGTTTTCGGTGACTTGGTTTCTTTCGACTTTTAGATGAGCAATACCGAGAGGTTTCATCATTGAACCATCAAACAAATGAGTTTTGCTGTCGAGCTGTGTAGTTTTGGGTATCCGATCTGGGTTATTCGTGACAAGTCGTCGTAGCTCATGACGTTACATGTCGTTTCAGTGTCAAGTTGGCACTCTAGGTCCTTTCGAAACTCTGTTTCAATATCTTGGAACTTCATATTCGTGTATAACTGTTTCCCTTGCGATCGTACAGATGATACATCTTCTTCTGAATCAGATGAATCAACAGGTATGTCTTCCTGTTTCACGGCTCGCACATCTCTCGTGTTTCTTGGGTTTCCTGTACTCCGACACGCTGCTGCAAAATTGTTTTGTTTTCCACAGGCAGTGCATGATTGTCCAAACGCTGGACAGTTCTCAAGTTTGTGGTCTTGTTTTCTGCCACAGTGGTAGCATTTTTGTTTGAAATTCTTATAGCCTTGGCCATGGTTATCTCTGTTGCTAGCACTACCAACTCGCGGGCTAGCCGATCGGAATTTGGACAACGGATACTTATGGCGGTTTCCCTTTTCTTGTACAGCACTTACTTCTTCTGTTTCTTTTGTCGTTGACATTGACTTCAATTGTATGTTCGCAATTTCGCTTGAGCGGCACATGTTCACAGCCTTGTTTAGGTTGAGACCACCTGCTTTGAGAAGTCGTAATTTTGTCGATCTATCCATAATTGCCAGCACGAGTCTGTCTCTAATTAATTCATCTGTCAGTGTCCCGAACTGACACGATGAGGCGAGTTTTCTGAGGCGATTAACATAGTCATCTACGGACTCTTCTGCATTCTGAGAACATAAGTTGAACTTATATCGCTCGTATACCACGTTTCATTTCGGTTTGAAGTGTGCTTCAAGTGCTCCGATGCATATCTCTACATCTTTTCTCTCCTCAACTGTTAGTTTTAAATTCATAAATATCTGTATACATTCTTTGCCCATTACTGATCGTAGCGTGGCTAGTCGAATTTTCGCATCTCGCTTTTCTAGGCCAGTGGCGACTTCGTAATCTTCCCACTGCTGTTTGAAAAACTTCCAGTTGGCTACTTTATCTCCCTGGCAAACCATCGGGAAGTTACCGGGAAAGTAGATGTAAAATTTAACATTGTAGCTTGAGCGACGGCTTGCTGTTCACCGCTTGTATCTGTCAAGTTTATGTTGCTTTTTTTCACGTCTTTGGTCGTCGATCGTACACGGATTTCGATTTGTTGGCTAATCTTAATCGAATTTCACTCCTGACACCATGTTTGAAATCGGTATTTTTAATGTCTCATATATACATCAACCTCTCTACTAGGTCTAACCAAAAAGTGTCTCACAAAAGTTACAACAACAATATGTAAATCTGTGTCCTCGTTCAGCCAAGTGTGTCTGATCGCGTGACCTAACATATTTGCATATCGGAAGTAATAAACGGGAAGTTCATATCGTAACAGTTGTATATGAACAAAGTCTAAAATGAGTTCAACATCCATCAACAAAAAGAAGTCGCGCTTATTACTACTGTTTAGAAGATACACAATTAATTTAATTCACTAGGAACCCGTTCTACAATATAAACTGGAAATCGGCCAACAAATTGTCACAAAATACAACAATGAAAATAGGGTCTCTGAACTACCGATTTCACCGAACGGTCAAGTTTCTCTGCAAAGATCGCCCCTTTGCCCAATTTTCGTCGAGTAGATCATCGTGTTATCAAGTTAAGGATTATGTATACTTTAAAATAGAAGAGTAAAAGAACTGGTGATAAAGGGTAGATTTTGAATAAAATACGAATATCTGTATACAAGATCTGAGCGTTATTATCAAGCACTCGATACTTTCTCCAACAACATATTGCGCTTAAATTTTTACAAAATTAAAAATATTCACACATTAAAGATATGAAATGTAGCTTGCATTACAAAGAAATGTTGGCTTACCTAAGTTATACTTTACATGTCAATTAAAGCCAAGTAAAACCCTTTCAAAGACGTGTGCCACATTAAATTACAGGTCACATGGCGGTAGAGAACTCGACAAAGTATTCAGGATATTTCATAGCCAGTTTAAAAGCCATTGTGTACTATTCCTGTGAATTATGATGCCCAACACACTGGGTAACAAAATTTACCACTTTGTTCGGCTGTTCCAAGTACACTTTTAAGATACAAGGTCCGATTATATCATGTTCTTCGAAGCATCTGCGCAAAACAGTCCAACATAAATATCACCACTCATCTTCTTCGTACGAAAATATAAGTTTTTCTTTCAATTGCTTTGCTTTAAAAACAGTCATTAGGTTGTTGAAGAGTTAGACTAACAACAATAAAAACCCAGATGCTTTCAAAAACCAGTGAATCACAATGCTGTAAACTTCAACATCCTTAGAAATTGTAAGCAAAACGTCGAAAAGCAAAATTCGCGGGAAAAAGCTCACGAGCCCACATTATTTTTATGCAGCGTCGACGAAAGTCCACCCTGTTCTGCACCTGAGGATTTCCAGTCTGAAAACAGCCTGCACCTGACGATTTCCAGGCTGAAAACCGCTTACACCTGAGGATTTCCAGGTTGAAAACAGCTTACACCTGAGGATTTCCAGGCTGAAAACAGCCTGCACCTGAAGATTTCCAGGCTGAAAACAGCTTGCACCTGAGGATTTCCAGACTGAAAATCACCTGCACCTCGGGATTTCCAGTCTTGAAAACAGCCTGCACCTGAGGATTTCCAGAAAATCACCTGCACCTGAGGTAGATTTTTTTTATTATGTGTTTTTTTAAATATACTCGATCACAGGCGTAACCTTTTGGCCTTTATAATATTGAAAGAGTAACTACGATTCCACAAACTAACAAAACGTCCTGATCACTGTCAGATCATGATTCAGATTGGGTGATCATATTTTAAAAAGGTACGTTTTTACATATTTTTTGGATTGGTTTTTATTTTCATACACGACTTATTCTTCAGACGAATAGAGAATGGGTATTAGTATTTCGATAACAATTTTCAATAGTATTTACAAATAAACCACTATTTATCATCAATATTTACATATTTATTTGAATACATGTAGCTTCATAATTGTTATTATAACATTTTATAATTTAAAATAGTAAATAATTTTATATTTTAACATGCAAACACAAACTGTACAGGATAAGGCGAATTTAAAAATCTTAAAATGTTCAGTATGTTCCATTAAACATGAATTGTCTACTTGTTTTTAAATAGGATTGTCTTGGATAGTATTTTCCTAATGTTTTCTCCTCGAACCTTTGCAGTTATTTCCTTTGCTAGGTGGTGCATTCTTATTTTTATGCATTTTATCAGCCTGAAGAGATGGTTGTTGTCAGGAGAGCTGTCAAACATGTGATCATGGAGAGATGAAAATGCATTTTTCTTGACAGCTTCTTCCAAGACCACTGATAAAATTGCTGAGACAATCGCAAATTTGGTAAACACTTGCAGAAGCTTCAATTAGTCCTCCATGGTTTTTCTGTCTCACCAATGAGTTAAACTTAGTGTTGTTTGGATCTTTCTCCACGAGAGCATCAATGCAAGATTCGCAAGTTACTGACCGTTTTACCATTCTGACCACATAACCTGCAATGTAACCAACAGCTGCTTCTTTGTAAGAGCTTAAATAGTTAAAATTTGGAGCATCCACATAATCATGATCTGTTTGTTGTGGTTCTAGGCGTACATTTAGGTCATATCTTCGGATGGTTGTTATGTCAGAAACATCAATATCAGCATTAACATGGTTGATGATTGTGGTATCTTTTACAGCATGTAGAATGTTTGTAGCATCTAATGCTGTACAATTTCCAGATGCACTGACTTCGTGACGTAGGAGCAGGCGTTTGTAGGCAGCCATGAATTGTGTTGCTGTCGGATTTTTGTTCCAACCTCCTGACAAGCGTATTGCTGCAAAGAATAACTCCAAGTGGTCTTGACTCTGTTTATATGTTAACAGGTATGTCATAGAAACATTAGTGTTTCTGACTAACTTGTTGAACAGACATTCGATTCTCTTGATAGCAACAAGAAAACCTAGGAAGCCAGTTTTTTGCTTTGTCTTCACCATTGGTGTACCACAGGAGTCGGTGAGAGTACTAATGTATTGCATTGCTTCTGTTAGGAATGGTTGCCATGCTTGCTTGTTTGACTCTCGTAGTGGGCTTTTGTAATGCTTTCCATAGGGATTTCTAGAGTTAAAAATGTCAAACAGATGGTCAAATATTCTGATAAACTTGACAGTTGGTGCAGAATCATGCAAGGCAGGAATCTCTAAGACCAGATCACAAAATTCTATAGCATCTGCCACACTTTCACTGATTGTTTGGGCTGCGAAGTTAACCTTCATTTTCTGCTTTGCCCACTGAATATGTGCCCCTCTGAGCCTATTTCCAAGTCGTAGCCCTTCCTCATCCTGGATCTTGTGCAGTTCTTCAATCAGTTCCCACCGAATATTGCCAAAATTTCCATCTGTGATAATTTTTTGTGTTGCCAGGGTGTTACGTACCAGTTTCAGCATGTGGCATACATCAAGAACAACATGGATCTTTTGGTTTGAATCAGCTGGGTGTACAAAAGATGGATCCAAGTCATCAACATCTAGCTTAGCACCAAGCAACTTCATCATAGATTGGTTGCAGCTTGGACTATCACATGTCAGTGACACTGTTTTTACCCAATATATCACTCAACTTCAACAGGCATGTTTTCATAAGATTGGCTCTTTCTGATGCTGACAAACCATCAATTAGGAAGTATCCTAAAGGTACTTTCCAGTTGCTGTTTAGTGATACAGCCATAAATACGAACCCTTCACTTGCCAATGGTGAAGAGTCGTCGCCGTCATCTATACCATTCCCAATATCTGTGAAGCCTACGTATTTATGTCCATCCCATTCCCAATGCTTTCTGATTGCCATCTCATCAATCATCAGGCCACAGAGAACATCATCACCCCTCTTTGTTGCATCTTTGAAAGGGCATGGAAAGCTTCCTGTGTGAACCCAGGCCAGGGCCTCTTTTAAGGATATGTAACTGGGTGGGACATCTTTCCCAAGGGACCAAAAATAACGTAAAAAGGGGACCTGAAAAAAATCTACTAAAGTCTATAAAATTGCGGCTACTAGCTTAAATATGGGTTTCGCTCTAGGGCAGCAGATGATGGTCAAATTTAGAAAATAATGTCAAGTTGTCAACACACCTTTTTCTCACTTATATATAATTGCCAGGCAGCTAGTGAAACTCATCTATACAGTATACCACTATATACATGTAATCTATCAATCAGCAGTCCGATGTAAAAAACTTCTTTACGAAGTCACGTTCCGCATATGAACTCAGATTAGGAAGATTCATTCGCCTCTGTTTTTTCTGTAGAAATTCTTGCACCATAGGACTGGGGTCAAACTGAGATGTTGGCACTCCATTCCAGTGAATCAATAGCCTATCATTCAGTGTTTTTTCAGATGTGGCCATTCTCAGGTTGGAGAATAACATGTTGTACGTTGACACACATCTTTCCACCGTCATACTGTGAGGGCAGAGAACACAAAAACCTGACAAAAACTTGGTCACAGGTTGTTTGCTGCCCCTTAGCATTTGGTAGAGTCTCACACCATAGTCTCTTGCAGGAATATGTGTATCAGGAAGCATTTCCGTAAAATTTTCTAAAACTGCATCAATAAATGCTTGTTTATCACTGATTCCACTTGATTCAAGTTGAGGTAATGCAATGTTGATGAATTCAATTGCACGTTTTGCTGAGGTCAAGTTGATAATGGTTGTTACAATTTCTGTTTGTTCCTCGTTGAGCCTGGTCTAAACATGATAATGATATACATAAAAAATATAGGTAATAGTAATTAAAAACTTTATATGGTGTGACCTGATTGCTAAACAGATATGAGATTACCTATTTATCTCATTTTACCTGGAGAAAATTCCTTGAAGAATCAATAACCTCTTGCCTGATAGGTTGTTTTCCTCTACGAAACGTTGTCACATTGGTGTTGTGTGTCCTTCTTGGTGTATTATCCACTGCTTCATCATTCTCTGGATGCAGTTCTGCAATCTTCTTTGTTAATAACTCCTCCTGCCCACCTATGTGCAGTAAAATAACATACAATGTAATGAATAATACACCTTTGTTAAAGAACTCAAATAAGAGTGAGTTCAATTTGTTTTCTATAAACAAAGTAACTTACTAACTATATATATTTTACCTGGATATGGCTCTGTTTGCATTATATCAAGTTTTTGCAAGGCAGTATCTCTGTACTTCAAGATATCAGGAATGATAATGCCAGGCTTCTGGGCTTCTTTTTCAATATATCTGAAGATACAGCATGTGTCCACCATAACAGCAGTTAGCCATGCTTGCACTCCTGTTGGTTGCCACAACTTTAAAAATCCTTTTGCAGACGATACCTCCTTGGTATTATATTCTCGAGGAGCATCACAAATCTTTTGCCAGTGCTTTAAACATCCATCTAAATTGAATAGTATCGCTCCACAAAGTTGAACAAGATGTTGAGCAAACCTTACCTCATGATGAGGAGGAAAACTTCTCATGTCTGGTTTTATGGTCTTCAACTCCTTAGTCCTTAGGCCTGATGTGCGGTAATAAGTAGCTACTCCCGTTACATTGGAAAGCCAGATTTTCAGTTCAGGTACCAACCTAAGACATTATAAATGTTAACATTAATATAGCCTTATAATTTATTTTTTTATCTTTTTTTGCTCAGGGCTTCACTTAAAATCTCTTTTGTGAGTGGACTTCCTAATGAAATATTGTAATCATTATTTTATTATTATTAATTTATTATTATTATTACCTCATCACATCTTCCATTGCTAAGTCTGATCGGTGACATGCACACCAGATATTTCTTGTTGAACGACCAACATAATTTTCAACTCTAGCCCACAGTCCAGAATCCTTACCAGTGTTTGCAGACTCTCCATCGGTGCTCATCCCAACAAATTTTGACTGCAAACATTCTTTAGAAAGGCCCATGTCATCAAAACAGTTTGTCATGGCAGAACACAAACCTTCAGCACCACGCTTGGTACTTTCCCTTGCACTTGCAAATCTTGTCTTAATAGAAAGAGGGTCCTCGGGTGTATTGAATCGAACAAATATAAATTTCTTATCTTGTTGCCTAGCATCGACAGAACCATCCATTTGTGCAGCAAAACAAATACAGTTCTGGAGTTCTTCTCTAAGGTGCTTTCTCTCTGTATCTCCTATTATCTCCAACATTTCTGCATAATGCATTGGATCCCTATAATGAAGTTCCTCTCCACTTGGTTTAAACGGGGTAAAACTTTGTACGTTGTCACTGTCAGTTAAAGACCTAAACTGTTGTTGTGCATGTAAATTAGCAAGAGATCTACCTGGCCATGACCAGGCAGCTAAAGTCAAAGATTTACTGTCATTATAGACCTCTACTGCCATTTCAGTCAAGGTCTTCAAAACTGTTGGATCACTTTTTGTTGCCAAGTTAATAAATGGGTGACGTTTGTCTTTGGCATTCCACAACTTGGATAGCTGTTTCTTTTCTTGAGCTGCTCTATGTGAAGGCCCCAGTAGATGATCAATTACATCTTGTATCTTTTTCTTCCCATCACAACGCACACCTTGTGCCATGTACACTCTACCATTAGCTGAAAAGCGCTTTGCTTCCTCTTCGAATTCACCACAGATGCAACACTTGACAAAAACCCTAGCTTTCTGGCGATTCTGCGTTGAAACTCTACTTCGTTCATAATATTGAGATAGTACACCATCTCCAAATTTTCCTAGAAGTGCTTTTAGGTTTAATGGGTAGCCTCTGTAATACTCAGTAGTGGTTTCAGTAGTCATTTGCGTTGACGATGTGTTTGCTGTGCTTATTGGCAAACCAACGTCACTTGTTGTAAACAAAGTAATGCTGTTTATATTTGCAGAGCTTGTTGACGATAAGGTCGAAGGTGTAGTATTGCTTGGAATATTATTCGAAGGAGCCCGTGTATGAACAAATTGAACATTACCTTCCCTATCTGAATTTCGAATATCAAAATCCACTTCATTCAGTTCATTGTCTTTACGAGGTTCTCCTTGGTCAGTGCCTCCAGTAGCTGCAGTGCCTTGTACTTCGCTTTCCACTTCAATTGGCGCCATATTTAATAATTGTTCTGACTCCTTCTCAACGTTTGTATCGCACGATGTCGATGACGATGTTCTTGCATTTTCGTTCTTTGTGAAGAAATCCGATACCTTTTTGCATTTACTCGCTTCTTGTTTTAACAGTTTTTCAATATTCGCTTTTCTTTTATTTGCATACGGCATTTTTAATACTAATAGTACAAACAAAGGCAAGCAATTTGCATGTAAATTTTGATGTAAATTATGTTTTTGAAATTCCCAACTAAGCTTCCCGAATATCCCGAGATTTCCCCCAAAATCCCAATGTTCCCACTTTCGTTCCCAGTCCCACTTTGAAAAATATTTTTTTGCAGATCGAAATTTCCTATTTGACTATTTTTCTATTTTTCATTGTCCAGAAAGGGAAGGCAAAGGAATAGCAGAGATTCTGCGAAAGGAATACTGGAATAAGGATTAATTATGTTGTCCAATATTGACTTTGGGAGTTATTTTCACACCAAAAAATATGAAAAGGGACTTTCTACTGGGGGGGACAAAATTGCCGACTGGGGGGGCAGTAAGGGGGGCTGGGGGGGCCATGTCCCCCCCAGTATTTATGTTAAAAGAGGCCCTGACCCAGGCTTGCCGTTGATGGTTTGGTACCATCTCCGTATTGTGCTTGGATGGGGTAACGCAAGGTGGAATGTGCGTCTTACATAGTTATAGGCCTTGGTGGAATAAAATTGCAAGGTGGTTGCAAATGCTTTGAGCACTTCTGGGTATTTTGATTTCGATATATTCTTCGACTTGTTCCTTACAGCCTTTCTCATTAGCTCATCTGGCACACCCAAGCATGTCCCTTCAAGAATAGATGCACATTTTTCTGATATCAAACCATTATTTTGAAGTGCTTTCACCACATTCAATGACTGAACCTTCTTTTTGAGTCGTCGTGATTTTTGTTGGGTCACCTTCAATTTTTTCTTCAGGTTTTCAACTCTATGCAAAGCCTCATCCAATTTTCTTTTCATGGTAGTGGTATTTGGACTTGATGTAACATGAAATTCATGATCAGACGCATTAGGAGGTTCAGTTGAAAACGGATGTTGCTGTGGTTCATTGTTTTCGAGAGTTGACATCTGAATTAAAGTTATTTAAATATTAAATCATTAACTCAATATATTTTTAATCTAGTAATAAGTTGTACGCTTATGTTTTTTTTTCTTTACATGTTAAGCTCAGCATGTTTAGCCATTATTAGATAACTGACATGTTATCGAGCCGACGAAAATAGCAAACATTACTTGATTTGATGATTAGATTGATGAATTTTTTGCTCGCATTTTTGCAAGATTTTGTAAATTTTGTAAAGATTTTGTAAAGTTTTCTCATAAAGAAACGGCGAAAGAATCGGCTAAAAGAAGGGAGCCGACGTTAACGAAGGTAAGTTTGTTTTAAATATTGATTTTATAATGGTTTTAAAACCCGACAGCCTTTGCGTATATGAAACAACTAAACAAAACAGCATATAATTCACAGTGTATCTTTAATATTGATTCCCTTTTTTATTATATTGAATTTTTTAAATATAAAAGAAAGCAAAGTTATTTGCAAGCGAGAATTTGAAATAATTTTATTGCAAACTCAAAGTTTATCGATAAAGCCTTTTATTAAATTAAAGGCTGTTTTAATAGTATTATAAAGAACACTTTAAAACGTTTTGTGAGACATTTGTGGTTGAATTTTGCCTTAAATTGAAGCTTGTATTCCGTATAATAACATACCGAACATATATATGTTGATAATTTTGTAATTAAAAGTGATATTTTTAGGCGATTTGTAAGAATATTCATAAAACAATTATCGTGTTACCATGACAACTACTCTAGATACTTCATGTTCGGAAAATACAATGGTTTTGTCAGCAAGGCGAGGGTTTCTGCATGCATGTATTTTCTAGTAAGTTTTACTTTAACTCATCTTCCTCTTACTGTATTTTATATAGAAACTTACAGTGGTTGGAATGGCATTATCTCTTAATCTTATGGTTTGACCAGTTCTGTCAAAACAGGATCTTCAAAATGATCTGAGCAAATTACAGATTTTTTTGTGGGATACCAGTTTGCTCTGCCCAGGCTAGAAATCCACAACTGTAATAGCTGTGGCCGACTGAATGGAAACCTGCAAAAAATGAACTATTATACAGCTTTTATGCAATTTTGATATGGAGTCAAATTAATGATATGAACAGCAGCCACTTCTTATGAATGTTACAATATTCATGTTCTTTAAACAAGTTTAAACGAAAATTCACTTGTGAAACATGGCCATAAAATAGTGTGTATATGTATATCCCTCCCCAAACAATTGTGTTTTTTTATGTTTTCGTATTTAAATGAATGCGAAGATAATAATTAAAAAACAAATTGAGAAAAAATGCTCAGAACATTCTGTACTTAGCTGCTAAAATGTGCTTTATCTTGTTTTCATTGTACAATGCACAACACAAGTATCTAAAATGGCGATGATTTGTACTTTTAATAATATACAAAACGTAAACATTGTTGCAAATTGTGTAGAAAAACGTAAACAAAAAACACAAAGTATTTGTATATTGTTATATTATTATTATAATTATGTGGATTGGTTTTATAATTACCAAAGAAAAATTGCAGCTTTAAACGCAGGATGCAGGGTTGCAATATTTTTTTTATAATTTGCCTTGAAAAATCATCGTCCTCGTAAGAGGCAATTTTTTCCCCTTCACATGTGAATTAAACAAGTTTTATATTTTACAAACCTGTGAAAGGATTTTCCGCAGTTTCGGAACTGGATATTTTTGCACCCAAGCACCACACAAGTTGGCATTTTCCGCCTTTCTCATCAAAAACACTTGTTGAAATCTTAGAAAACCTTTGTAGCTTTGAGAAATACATGCAATACAGTCACATCTTTACTACACTATAAATACGAAACCGGAAACCCAAGTTGGCTTGCAAAAGCAGTTAGAATATTGATTCGACTAAAGTCGAATTTAAAGAAAAAGGTAGACAATAAACGAGATAGACGGTTAAAATAATTGAATATTACCAGTCGTGAAGAAAAATTTCAACAGGGCACTTTACACAGGGCATTAAAAGTGCTGGACATTCAAGCAAAAGTGGATAAAAAATATATTTGTTCAAATTTCGAACAAGTAACATTTAACAATATTCTTGAGGTAGGAGTATTGTACAGATGTTTTGTAAAATACATCGTCCAAGTTAATTGTCTCTTGCTTTAGTGAAAACTGTCTCTTGACTTGTGTTTATAAAAAATTTTCATATACGTCTGCGAAGAAAAAATATATTGCTGTCCATCCCGAAATTTAATGCTCTATCTGTGGCATTCATTTCACTTTCTGTCGAAGAATTCTTCTTACAAGGAGTTATGTCAATTAAAATCTCATATCTGCTCATATCTTATAACTTATTGTTTTAAAGATTGTTTCGTAGTTTTGAAACTCCCACGCTCTAGTAATTGGCCTTTGTTGGCCGCCATCTTGGTACTCCAAATTCGTCACTTCCGGTGGCTTCATTCATTTTCACCACATGTGTGATCCAGTATTATTCAGATCAGTGCTCACCGCTCAATTATCACCGAAATTTAGAGCTATATGAAAGTTGCATGCCATATATTTAATTTTTAATTTTACAAGCTTTGTCACAACAAGAATACATCATGACAAATAACAATCATTACATATATAACATTACAAATGTGACAGGAAATCACAACAACTTCAAGCCAACAAGGGCGAATTTCGTTTTTGACCAATCAGAGCATTTGTTTACCTTTTGGCGCTAAGCCAATCAGAACGCGTACATTGTTACTACTTCCGGTTTAGACGCGTATTTCAACACGAAAATTACGGTTGTAAATAAAACCTTAGGGGGGGGTCTGGTTTTTTAATTTTTTGGACTTATTTCAATGAAATCCTATAAAATACAAAATTTTCGAAAAATTTGCCGGATTGCGTCTCATTGCTTAGTTTTGAAATTATCCACATTCAAAAAACGGCGTATGCAAGGTCACTCTCGAATGGGTCAAAAACGTGTTATGATTCTAAAGGAAGTGAAGCAAAAGCATATATCCGGAAATATTTAAGAGTGGCTCGGGGCATTTGAGAAAGAAGGCATTTTCACTGTGATTTTGGAGTTAAATTTTCTGGCAATCGGTCACTACACGACTATAATTTTGCCAGCAGTGGCCATATAGCACTAAAGCAAAGTAGAAGAACTGAATCACCGTTTATGACTGCCTCGTTGGACCAAGCTTTCTGGTTTTGACTTGAGAGGATATTTGCAAATCGGGGAAGCACTGATGTCTGGTAGGTTACACTCAGGGTGGAAAGAGTGTCTACAGCCTCGAAAAATGCGACACAAAGGACTATCACGACTGCATTCGATTTTATCACATTTTCTGTCTCAATGGAAATTGAAGGTATATACCTTATATATTTCACATATATTAAACATATAGATACATATTTTCATGTTTAATTATGATTCATATACATTTTACAGGCTGTCAATATATTAAAAGATTCATATTTTTCAAGCACCAGATTGTCAGTCAACAGAAGGTTACTTATTTGCTTTTGAACGCAGTTTTTCCCATATGTTTTACATAATTGTATAGAAAACAGTAAGACCACTGTATATTTTTATGACCATGAAATCAAAACCTATTTACTAAAGCATTTTAAACTCTTGATAGTGATGCAGTATAATTATACTGAACTTATTTTGTTGGATTAGGAGGTCTCCAATGGAACAACTTGGTTGGTGGTGACAACAGTGGCATAGCCACAGGGGGGGGGAGGGACTGGTGGGATGAGTCGCCCCCACACTCTTCTCCTTCAGAACTAACTTCGAGATATGTTTAAATCCGTTGAGAAACTAGGGGGGAGGAGGAGGTAACGCTTATCTGATTTCATGGCCAGCTTATTATTCACAATCTAATAAGTGAAGACACAGGTATTCTTGACTACCAAATTATGTTATAATCTTCTGAATTTTGTAAAATCTCGCCCCAAAATGTACAAAATGGCATTTCAGATTCTCTGAATTTCAAAATTCAGAGCCTCTGAATTTTGACCCCCTACAGTGTTCGTGCCTTTGCCGCTCAAGTCATCCCACCCCACACTTTGTAAACCCTGGCTATGCCACTGGGTGACAACCATGCATCCAAACAAATTTTCTAGTTTCCACTTTTCTTGTCTACTTGTTTTGCCCATGCACTCCTGACAGTAATGCACATATCAATGGAAATCCTGTGGTGGGGGAGGCCACGACAGAGTAGGGGATTTGAAAAATTGACAAGAAAAACAGTCAAATTCCTGTAGGTGGGGGTAAATATTCCGGTCAAATAAAGATCAATTCTCCCACCCACAGGTGTCAGAAAAGTAATAAATTTTGGTGGCAAAGATTGTTGGATTTCAGAATTTCAAGATGTGTGTGTGGGGTGGGGGTGCACCCTCGCCAGCACCCTAGCCCTGGGTGTACCCTAGCCCTGGCCAGAGGGGGCGCAGGGGGAGTGCTATTTTTCATGATAAAGATAAAAAATAGAGACAAAATGAAATACAATAATTTATCAATCCTTTGCCTAATTTGCTCAGCATTGTCAGCACTTGGTATCCAGGGCTGATTACATGGTGCCCTTTCAACCCTGGGGTTGAACTCAGCCCTATTAACTGGGTTGAAATTTTTTGTACGCATTGATTTCCGGAAGTAAAAGAAAGCAGCTCCGTAGCCTCCATGTTGTTTTCTTGTAATAAATAGTACTACCACACATGCTTGAATAACTCGTGAATAATTTCAACCCTGGGTTGAAACAATTGCATGAAAACATTTTTAACCCGAGTCTGAGTCTCTGCTAACTGAAGCAAGGTTGAAATTTCAAACCCGGGGTTGAACTGGACCCTGGCTTGAAAATTTTGTTATGTAGTTGCACATTTGATTTTGATAGAGTTTTATATTATTATTACAGACTGTTGAAATTTCAACCCGGTCAACAGGGTTGAGTTCATCTCCGGGGTTAAGTTCAACTCCGGGGTTGAGTTCAACTCCCGGGTTGAGTTCAACTCCCGGGTTAAGTTCAACTCCCGGTTTGAGTTCAACTCCCTTAGTCCATGCCCACAGAAGAGGTGGAAATTTTCAACAGGGTGCTTGCTGAAAGCTAATAATGCTTGATACAGTGTGTGGTACATGGGATGGTTCTCTTGCCAATATATGAAATGAGACAGAACCACTAACATTGCCTTGTCATGATGACAATGCCATAAGTTGAAAAAATATGAATCTTTTAGTATATTGACAGCCTGTAAAATGTATATATTGACAGCCTGTAAAATGTATATGAATCATAAGCATGAAATGTATATGTTTATATGTGAAATATATAAGGTATATACCTTCAACTTGCATTGAGACAGCAAATGTGATAAAATCGAATGCATTGATCTAAAAATCAGTGATCGAATGCAGTCGTGATAGTCCTTTGTGTCGCATTTTTCGAGGCTGTACTTTTTCCACCTCGAGTGTAACCTACCAGACATTCAGTGCTTGCCCGATTTGCAAATATCCTCTCAAGTCAAAACCAGAAAGCTTGGGCCAACGAGGCAGTCATAAACGGCGATTCTTCTACTTTGCTTTAGTGCTATATGGCCACTGCTGGCAAAATTATAGTCGTGTAGTGACCGATTGCCAGAAAATTTAACTCCAAAATCGCAGTGAAAATGCCTTCTTTCTCAAATGCCCCGAGCCACTCTTAAATGTTAACAGTTATTCTACGAACTCGAGTCGAATATGAGCTGATAGCCGATGAGGCGCGTAGCGCCGAATCGGCTATCGCTCATATTCGACGAGAGTGAGTGGAATAACTGTTTTATTATATACACAAGGTCTGAATTTACAGACTTTGCTTTTCTGTTATTTTCAATATTTTTCTATTTTGTTTATGTTTTTATCTTAATCGCTTTTTCGGCCGATTATTTTTTCAAAAATATATATTTTTAACCATTTTAAATTTTAAATATTCATTTGCTAACCTGTAAACAATTTGTGGGAGTTTTTTCATTGTGTTTTTAATCCTGAAAGGGCTATAAAAAACGAACAACTTGCTGTTTTCTTGTTCGCAAGACATCGGAAATTCAATTTTAGCCGCCATTTTGTTTTTCTCTCCTAGCAGGATATGAGCTAATATCCTGCTAGTAGAGAACCAATCAGATTGCAGAATACCTCATATCCAGACCTTGTGTATATAATAAATATATACCACCTGATGATTCCTATACGGATGAAACAGACTGTTGTGGTTCTTTGAGGTAAAACGAAAAACTATATATATATATATATATATATATATATATATATATATATATATATATATATATATATATATATATATATATATATATATATATATATATATATATATATATATATATATATATATATATATATGAAACTCCATTCCAAACAAAACTAGGCTTTCATGTTCTCATCAGCATTCATTCAAATTTCTTTACAAATATTCATAGTTGAATATTCATATATCTACCCTGAATATTCTGAATATTCATATATCTACCCTCAATAAATATTTATCACTTATTTACTGAGATCGAGGGAAACAGTGTGTTTTGTGGATCCGAGACCGTCGATGGTCGACGGAGCCGAGGGAAACATCGACGGTCGACGGTCGACAAAACACACTGCTTTCCCGAGGTCTCAGTAAATAAGTGTTTTATTATATATCAATAGTCAAAGAAACAACAAATTAAAGAACAAATGAACGTAAATACATGAAATATTTTATTGTTAAAACGTTATATTAAACACTGGCTACACTGCAGTTACTTAAAGCGAAAGTTTTAATTACGTACTAGGCATGTCCAAAGGTCGCATCTTCACGTGATGGCGTACGTGATTTTTTTTGTTATTCGCCGTTCGATAACGTATTATCTCCCTCTCGCGCTGTTGCGAGGGAGACAGCCTAATTTCGTCACTCTCACGTGATATGCTCTCAACCAATAAAACACTAGAAAAATGCGACTTTGACTATTGATATATAATAAAACAGATTAATACGTCAAATTTGACCAATCAACTTGTAGGATTTGTATGTTCACTTGTGCAAAAATACTAATGCTTGTTCATTCATAATGTTCTAACTCTGTGTAATGCAAAACTTTGCTTAAATTTAGATAAACAATCTTCAAATTGAGATTGATGAAGAAAATGAAAAGAAGACAAACCTTTATGCGATGAAAAATCTCCCTAAACCTCCTTGTTCAGTTGCAAAATTAGACCAACAAATTGTAAGTATCCATATGCAAGGCTAATTTTATGCGAGCAATAGAACCTTTTTATAAATACTGCAGTAAGTCGAAACAAGTGACTAGATGACATGGAGAGCAGTGGAATTTGCAAAACATTGGAATATTCCCAATCATATACAACCTGCAACGCTTATTTGGTGCATATTATTTGAAAGAAGTCGACTGGACTAATTCGAAAAAGGGTTGTCATTCTTGCTACTCCTTCTTTACCAAAGCTATGGCGATTATTTTTCGACCATGAAAGCATGGTAGTCTAAAGAGTAAGCTATATATTGCATAACTTTTAAGGCAACAAAGATTAAGGAACTAAGATTTCTAGCAAGAATAAAAGATGGCAACATAAATTCCCCACTCCGAATATTTCCGCCACTGTCCCAAATTAATTCCAATCAAGGTAATCTCATGATTCATTCTTATTTGAATTTTTACTGCTTATTTCTCTAGACCAAATCTGAGCAGAGGAGTGAGTCGTTGAAATATCTAATGCTCCAGTATTGTTCCGGATTAGGAAGCTGTGATTTGGATACATAAAAAGACGCCTTGTTGTAAAATTGCATATTGTTATTTTCTATAATGAAAATCATTTACAAGAAATTACGTAGGCCTATTCATCACAAATGTATTAATTTCAAATCATTGCATTGTACTTGTAAGAAGTAAATATCGCATTATTAATGTAAAAATATATTATACAGTGTAGCAAATCAAGCGACATCAATGACGCCAGTGGTGAGCTACCTATGGTAACTGGTCATGCTATGCTATAATCCTGCATCTACATAGGTTAAAGAATAATGCAAATCATTAAAAATTTACATAGCATCACCTGTGGCCATGGCTTGCTTCGCATGACGCAAGTTATTATTGGCATATTATTATTTTGTTTTGAAATTGAACAATTGAATCTTTCCACAAAGCGGACAAGCCTAATTGTACATTATAGTGTATGCAAAATTGCAACTACCATTCCTTCCGTAAGGAAAAGTTATGAAACACTGAAAATTGATCGAGATAATCATTGTCGTTAAGTTATTCGAAAAGGGGGGAAACCTGACACTCTCGTACCGATTATTCTGCGTGATTATTCCATTTTATGAACAAATTTAAAGACTTAATGAAAACGTAATGTGATTTAAATAACTTCAACGGAAGATCTTTCTCGATGTAAACACTTATATTAATGTCGTTTTTTTACGACAACCGTGAAATCTTTAGGGTGATGAAGTTGCATACCTATGGGTGAAGTAGATGGTTTCTCCGCTCCCTCAGGAAGCTCAATCTTGTAGAGATGTAGTAACGTTGACGCGAATGTGAACATCACGATCTTTGCAAAAAGCTGACCGAGACATTCTCTACGACCAAGTCCAAAGGGCATGAAAGCATGTTTCGTTGTCCAACCCACAAACTTTCCATCACTGTCAAGAAATCGTTCAGGCTTGAATTCATTAGGTTCGGGCCATTCTTTTGGTTCATGATGGATTTCTCCAATATTTATGAGGACGTTTGTATTCTTTGGAATACGATAACCACCGATAGTTAATTGTATCACGAATAGCATTTGTCGCTGTGAGTGAAAAAGGTCCGCACATCCGTAGTACTTCGCATAAAGTAGCCTGTAAATAAGGCATGTTCTGAGCATCTTGCCAGCATGGGAGGCGATCATTTTCTACCACGTCATCAAGCTCCTTGTGAAGTTTTGCTTGAATATCTTGATGTAAGACATTATAAAGAATAAACCAACAAATTGTAGTTGAGACTGTATCTACTCCTGCTACAACAACATCTAACATTAAGTCGGGTATATCTTCTATCGACCCGATGGCCTTGCTTGTCCCTTTTGTAATCTCGTTCTCGTAGGCACCGATGAAGCTGTCTGTCAAATCCCGTATGACCCCTGGACTGTACGTCTCACGGTGAGCAGAGAATTCGTGTGCAAATAGCTGTTTCTTGATATCTTTTGCCCTCTCTATCTCACGGTTGAAGTTGTTAGCTACGTATCCAAGGAATGGTATCAATAGATATATGGATTTTTCTCTAGGCTGATTCATTGCTATCCCTCCTATTTCCTTAAATAAACTTATTTTCCGATCATCGAGAGTTATCTTCTTAGATGTTAACCATTCCCAAACTTGCGCAAATATTGTTGATTGGACAAGTTTGTTTGGCGAGAACGACTGACATTTTTCAATTTCTTGCAGTGCGAGTTGAACGGAATGTCTTGCACGATCTTCAACTTGCCCAAGACCGGATCCAAATACATGAAGTGATGATTTCAACACTCTCCTGCGAAATAAATACCCGGCCGAGTAATCTGCAAAGACAACGTCCTTCCCAAATATAAGTTCCAATGGATAAATTAATTCGGATGACCTGCCAGCAATGCCGTCTTTTGTGCCAAGTCTTGCATTTCTTGCGAGTGATGCGGTATTTAGTACAACACCCGTTCCATTGGGCATGAATACAGTGAAGATTTCTCCATATTCTTTGGACAATTTCCTGAAAGGAAATGCTTGGTCGGATATTACGTGAGGTATATTGCCAATCCATGGGAAGGGAAAGGGTCCGGGGGGCATTCCTTGCTTCTTTATACAGGTATTACTGATGTACCAAATAGTCCAAATAAGAAATAGCGACACTGCGACTTCTACGATCATGATACTCGATCAGTGTTGTCATTAATCTAAGAAGAGAAGGTTTGTGAAGGAGTGGTATATCTCTATCAGTCATTAAGTCATTAAGTATGTGTCCTGGCGGCCGGAGGCTTTTTTTTGGGGGGGGGCGGGTGGACGGGGGTCATGAATCTGGTATTATTTCTATGCATTGGCCAGAATAAAATGTTATAAAAGTGTACACTTTCCCAATACAGAAGTAATTAACAATTATTCGCCGAAGGCGAGGTGATTATCGGGGAACAAATAATATTATTAATATTATTATTGGTTAAAAAATAGCAATAATAATATTAATAATAATAATAAAATAATGATATAAAATAATAATAATAATAAATAATATTAATAATAACGATAATAATAAATAAAAATATATTAATAATAAAAAATATATAATAAATATATATATTAATAATAATTATTAAATATAGTAATATTATTAATAATATAAATAATATAAATAATATTATTAATATTATTAGTATAGGTAATCATGCGATGGCGAGTACAATAGGCCTTTCCCCTTATGAGTGAAATTTTGATCTAGACCAGCCTGGACACAAATTTCATCACAGCTTGAAAGAGCATTGCAAAATTAGTAATATTCCAAAGTTTTTCCAAAGTTTCGTTGCGAAATGTTGTAAAATGCCGAAAATATAGCCTTGCGAAATTTGCAATTTCAGTCCTTTTGTATTACGAGCGGGAAACGATTTACACTTTTCCAAAATTTTTATCTCAGCTAACCTAAACAAACATTCCATCACAGCTTGAAAGAGCTGATCACAAAATTAGTACTATTCCAAAGTTTCGTTGCGAAATGTTGTAAAATGCGGAAAATATAGCCTTGCGAAGTTTGCAATTTTCAGTCATTTTGTATTACGCATGGAAGTGGTAACCATTTCCCGTTTGTAAATATTGATTGAAAAACGGCAAACTTCGCATGGCTATAATTATTATCCGCATTTTACAACATTTCGCAACGAAACTTTGGAATGTTGCTAGTTTGATGATGCTCTTTCAAGCTGTGATGAAATTTTTGTCTAGACTTGTTGAGTTCAAAATTTTGGTTAATGTGGGATTGGTGATTTGGAGGGCTATACTCTACAGGGTGTCCCAAAAAAAAAGTTCCCTCTATAGAAATTTATCCTATTGTTGTGAAATATAGGATTTTATGCGACTGGCAACTAAAAATTCAATTCAATTGTGTTTGCGCACTCTTGTGTTCAGCATAGTGCTCAGGCATTCAAATTATAACAATACTCAATAGGATAATTTCTATAGAGGGTACTTTTTTGGGGATACCCTGTATACTAGTTATTCCTAATATGTTACATAACTGGCAGCACAATTAATTTGAAATCATATAAAAAAATAGCAGGGATCGGGATTCGGGATTAGCTTAGCCTTAGAAAAGCTGTCGAGATTGTTGTAACGATAGAAAACATGGAGCACGATATTAAATTTAAGAAGTCCATGTGGACTCTCATAAATATCGGCCATTTTGAAGCGTCATTGTTGCCAAATAATATAAACATACAATCAGCTCGCAGTGAACTTTGAATATTGTTTAACGTTCCCACTTTCTAACAAGTAACAAAGTCAAATCATTAGGCTTAGGCTTAGCAAAAATTTGATCGAACTCGCTCATAATTTTCCATATTAATTTCACTAAAGTTAAAGTATTGAATTCAATCCGAGCAGCCATAATATGCATAGACAATACGGAATTCCGTCTTGCTTTGCTGTGTTCATAGACTATTGAAAGGAAGATGGCTGTGAAGCTCATTAGAATAACAATATAACTCATTATCTATGTTTGTCAACGTTTATTCATGAATATGGTCCTTCACCGTCACGTGTGTATTAATGCAAGGCATATTTTAAGTAATAGACTGGTGGGCCATTTAGCCCACCAGGCCCCTCAAGTGGCCCACCACCGTCCATAGATATCTATGCCCACCACTCACAGGGTATTGGCCCACCACTGTGTGGGCCCCCGCAGCTTCAGTCTTTACATTTTAGCATCAAGAATATAAAATTATTTACCTTAAACAAGCTATTAAACGCTAGTCTATAAACTTTCAATTTCTTGATGGCATTTATATTGCAGTAATGGTTTTGTTTCAAATTATACACGTGCAGAACACAAAGTACACCCATATTTTTCCGCTGACATTACGTATTGGGGGCACATGTCA